TTGTTTCCCCCTGTTCCAAAACAGGCTAAAATATTAATAGTGAATGCACCATGAATTCTCTTACCACATATATTGTCTCTCCAATTTGGTAACAACACATTGAGGCTTCTGCAATCACTGGCATAATCAGCTAGCCATGTACACATTACCTCCTCACTTTTTTCCAAGTTACAGACATCGTACTTGCAGCGCTTAAAGAGACAGAAAGTTGATGTAAGAAATATGGAAAAAGATCACATAGTGAGTATTAAATACAAATTTGTGACACAAACAATATCCTGTACATTTGTTTATGGGTTCCTTGCAAGATAAGGCCCTAAACTTAGATGCTGACCTGACAGAGTTGTGGATGGTGACAGGCATGCTTTATCATGAAAAATATACAGTGTATCATTTCAGAGACAATAGCCATACATTCTGTACTGACTCAATGGACAGTATGTAAGCCACTTTTACTAGGCTGTGGTTTCCTAGGGAGAAAACAGGTAGATTTATAATAAGTAAATAAAAATCCAAATTATAGTGTGTTTACAGAAAAAAAACAAGACATATTGTACTGATTCCATGCCCAGTATGTAAGCAGCTTTTACCAAGTCACAGTTTCAACGGGAGACAACATGCATCTTGTAATCAATAAATCAGCATTAGAGTGTATTATTTCCCAGAAGTAAGCCAACAACATTGTACTGATTCCATACACTGCACGTTCACTAGACCATAGTGTGAAAAGGAGACACACTATGCAGATTTTAAATTGGGGCAGCACAGTGGCTTGGTGGTTAGCCCATCTGTCTTTTTCTCTGTCCTTTGCCAGCTGTCAATTTGTAGCTGAGTGGACTTAATGGGTAACTGGTCCCTCAGCATCCCCATCAGGCTTTGCTCACTGTCAGTTTGGCTGGTTGTTAAGGAAGCTGTCAGCTGTAAGCTTAAACAACCAGTGATACTGACAGTGGGTGTAGCTTGTTGGGGAGCTTGGAGAGTCTAGCTTCCTATCACATCTGCACTGCAACTGACTGACAGCAAGCAGTGGGTTGATTCCATAGCCAATAGCAGTCCACCCATGGCCTGCTGTCAGTTAGTAACAGAGCAGACCTGATGGACAACTAGGCTCTCAGAGTTCCACCAGGCTTTCAGGCTCCACCAACACAGTTTGTCCTTGACTGCTGTGCCTGCCCACATGACATTTGCAGTGGCTGGGTGGAGAACTCAATAATGCTGAGCCTGTGATTTTGTCAGGTTCAGAAATACTGAGCTATAGTAAGGCTGGAGTGTCCGTTATGGACATTCTGGCCTCAGTTTGCCTCTGCACTGCAAATAGTGGTACTTGCACCAAATCTGCGGACAGCACTGATAATTGTTGTGCAGAAGCACAACAGAATTCTATAGACTCTCATATACATTCTTTATGAAACATTGGGAAAAAAGTGTGCCTGTGGCTTAATAAAAATAAATTATTATAAATGTTTTTAGTAATTGCCAACAGAAACTAACTCTCCCCGCTCAGACTTTGGTTTCTCTCCCTATATGCGTCACAGTGATTGTGTCTATGACTAAATGTTAATATAAAATTTTATAGCAATCACCCAGAGCAACTAGCCCTCTCCACACAGAATTTGCTGTCTACCCTTTTATGCTTCAGGACGGTCCAATGTGATTATTTGTAACTATATATAGTTTCAGCAATCAGCAGCAGCAACTAGCTCTCCATGCAAACACTTTTATGTCTGTCCCTACCTACTCTATGTCTTATTCAACACACACTGATACAAGGCTGCTAAAAACCCTGAATTTTCTAGGGAGGGCTTAAATAGAACAAAAACAGAGCCACTAATAAATTAAGAAGATCCCAAAGGAGTTGTTAACAATCAATCATTAAAGTGCTAATGTGTTTTGGGGGAAAACACAAGCCTCCTTCAACAATGCTAGAAGATAGATAGATAGATAGATAGATAGATAGATAGATAGATAGATAGATAGATAGATAGATATAGATATGTATATATATATATTTGTATCTATTGTGGCAGTGCATGGCAATGCCGCAACGTAGCATGGCAACATTGGCACCCAGGACTCTCAGCCAAAGGGGCTGAGAGGGTCCAGAATGTGAAATATGTTAAAAGGAAGAGCCTGGCTTCGTCCAGTTTTTCCTAATTGTAGCTGGAATCTGGAGCTCTGGAGATTTCGTAGAGCTCTGGGTGGGATGAGATCTCCAGTCCTGGGGCCAGGTGTTGCCAATGACCAGCTTGGGCTGATCAGGTGGCTGAGAGCAGCCTCATTAGGAAGCCATCCTAGTGCTCAGATAGGAGTGTTGGAGTTGTGTGTGTGCAGGGAGCACACAGACAAACTCAGGTGCATGCTGGACACACACAGAACAGCCAGGGGTGGCTGGGCTAGGTCAGGAAGGTCGGTGACCCAAGGGATCTGTTGGACGCACTGCTGAAAGAGCAGAGTGAGTGCCCACGAGGGGAGAGGTCAGGAAGGTCGGTGACCCTAGGACCTGTGGTACAGACTGCTAAGAGAGCAGAGTGAGGGCTCACAAGGGGTGAGCAGCGTGAGTGTCTTGAAGCTGTGGAAAGCTACTGAGCGAAGCTTAAAGACTGTCATTTATGTTTCGGCTAGAAACCGTCTTGTGCACAGGGGAGTTCTACCCTGTGGATGGAATTATATATTTGCAACTGCATTTCACTTGCACCTCCGTTCTACATTAAATAATGAAAACACAGATTTACATAAATCCAGGTCTATGCAAATGCAGGTTTCTATACACACTCTGTAATTGAGAACTGTTGGAAAATGAAGGGGTCTATTCACGAAGCTGCCGAAGGATCTAGCCATAGCTTCGGCCGTTCCTTCGGCTAGCTTTGGCTCCAGGACCCCTTCGGATCAGTAGAACCGAAGGGGTGCTGTACGGGCTATTCACTATAGCCCGTACAGCTCCCGAACCTGGCCGAGCGGCTCAGTCGAGCCGAACGCTGACAGCCTGCTTCTGACAGCTGGCTGGAGCCAGCCGTGATCTTACCTGCTAACCAGGGACTCTGATCTCCAAACAGCGTCCCTGGTTAACTGCTAACCAGGGACACTGATCTCCAAACAGTTAACTCTCCCGGGTGTACCCATGTTGTCCTCGCGGTGTTGTACTATATAGTAATTTTAAAGTATCTTTTGTTTTCCAAATATTAGTAGTTATTAGTGCCACGTGGTAGCAAACAACCTTCTTAATAAAGACTTAATAGACCTGACAGTATTATGCTGAGAATAAAGCAACATTATTTGCCAATTATTTACAACTTTTCTGGTAGCTATTTGAATTGGGTGTAGTTTTGCATAAAGATGGTCACTTTTAAAACAGCATTTGCACAGAACTGGATACTGTACCATGTACTCATTCTATTTTAAGGTAGAAGTATTAGGAGAGAGCCAGAGTGGAACACTGCACCATATACTGAGAGTTGTGTGATCGTGAACTGCTGATTGTTCAGCTCACGGCTTCTCCCTGCAGAGCGGTGACTGTCAGTCACTACTCCCCACAGAGATCCCCCTCTCTCTGACGGCTCAGTGCTCACGGGAGGGACAGACAGGGGAGTAGGCAGACACAGCTGGCTCTGGCAAAGCAGATCAATCAGACAGTTGGATGGATTCCGACAATTTTGACAGGATCCTTCCCGGCTGTTGCGTGACTCTGCGTTGTCAACAGTTAAAAGGCAGTGGCCAACTATATCCTGACTTTGGGACACAGGAGTACATTAGTAAACATTTATTTATTACAGGTATTTATTTAGCACCAACAATTTACACAACACTTTTACATAGTGTACATTCACATCAGTCCCTGACCTCAAGGAGTATCTCACAGGAGTATCTCTCATGTAGGAGAGACAATTTAGACAGGAGTCAATTTACCTTCCAGTGTGTATTTAGAGTGTGGGAGGAAACCGGAGTACCTACAGGAAGAACATGCAAACTCCTTACTGATAGTGACCTGGCCAGGATTCAAACCAGGGACCAGTGCTGCAAGGCAGAAGCGCTAACCACTACGCCACTATGCTGCCCATAAATATACTCCTGTTGGTTTAGCTTTAACTAACACCAGCAACAACGAAACTAAACACAACTAAAGCCCTGCTTACTTTTGTAACAAACTCTGACTTGACCATAAGTTTCTAAAAATTAAACCACTTGCTAAACATTACCTCTTTTGCAATTCAGATTCAAACTGATGGACTATGACTACGTCTCATAAAATATATTTCCAGCTTTTAATGTTAGGCTGTTAAATATGCCCCTTGACCTACAACCTTAGATTTAAATTAATAGTACACATAGTTAGTTAAATTCAGTTGGACTTATTCTGTAATGTTTAGGTAAATTTAATTACCCGTTCAAAATGAGTATCAGAAAGACTTCACAGACATTAGTTATCCAAAACCAGACCCTAGTACTGTGCAAGATATAGAAAGTGCTGATTGTTAATGGATGTTTCCTATTTCCAGCCATCAACAAGCAGCACTTTCTATATCTTGTATAGAGATTTGGGCAAGAATGCTTTCACACTTCAAGGATTAGTAAACCCCAAAAGGTGATCATAGCACAAGATGGAACCTCCACCCAAGAGCTACACCATGAATTGTGGAAATTATATACATACCATTTTATTTATATGAAATATGCTTCTCTGAGTGAGAGGGCAGGCCTGTGAATAGTGAATAAACTAAGATGTGGTCATATAATCTTATGTCTAACATGACATGACAACCCCAGAGCTGGAGGCATAGGAAGCAACACCAGAAATGAAACTCTATAGGTAAGTTATATTTTAAGGCCAATACCCTGGAAGCTGATAGAACAGTCCTAAGTAACTTTTTGATTCTGGTTCTCTAAAAGGATCAGTCCACTCAAAAGTAATATTTTAGATATAGGTGAAGACCCTTTTCACTTTGTATATAACTTTAATATTCCAATAACAAGATCTCCCTGCTGTGTTACCCAGATATCTGTCCAACTGTGTTCCTATCCCCCTAAGAAGTTATGGGTACATTATCGGTACATTCTAATAGAAAAGAATACAAAATCAACCCCTGCAGCTTCAAAGGAAATAAAGAAAATATATGTTTAGCAAATTTACTTGTTTTGTCACATGCAGCAAGTACTGCAAAAGTAATCACGGAAGGTCAGCCGCAACCACTAAACCTCCAGTTGAGCATGGTTGAAATATTTTCAACATCAGCATGTAAACTGTTTACGAATGAGTTCTTATTTACAGTTCAACACAATTATCAAATGCCAAGGTACATAAGTTGACTTTTTTCAGTACCTCAAAGTATGATTTGGGATCCAGCACATCGTGACAAGAAGCAAACACACCCATTTTGTTTATTAGTTGAGAGCACCAGTGATTGGCATAATCTCCTGCAAAACAACATCATGTTGCATCAGTAATATGTGTAATCATTCATTTACTGCCAGTTTATTAGGAAATACATTGCATTAACGTATATCTAAATCTAAAACCTTTTTTTAGCTTTGGATAGGATGACAAAGAATTAGAACCTCTGTTCCCATTAAGGAGATTCACTTTTTTTATTTGTCCTGATGACCTATAGTCAATGAAACCAAAAATGAGGGAAGTTTTTTTTTTAAATTGAATTGGCATCAGGATAGGAATAAAGGGAACATCTTCAAATGAGGACACTCAACTGTGTAAGAGAGCTTTTCCCTCACTTTGTAGAGTTCTCCTCTCACTTGCTCTTGTGTCTACAAAACAGGGGGTGAAGGGAAATCTCCCCAATGGGACACAGATGGCACAAAAACAAACTTGACAGGGCTTTTTTCTTTTAACTCTTCTCTACTTTATCCAAAATAAAAATAAAATGTTTTGGCTTCAGATTATTTACAAAAAAATTCAGAAGTTTATGATAAATGAGAATATCTGAATGGAACTGATATGTGATAATGTTTTATGGAAAAAAGTTTTCCTATACACTTCTTACTTCCTTTAAATGGATCACAAAGGAGGATATTGCCAAATGCATTTAAAGCTGGGCACCTGAAGGGTATAAAACACCTTTTTTTATCGTGTTGGATATAGGGTGGAATAGGTAAAACCCATGTCAGGTTTTTTTGTCCCATTGGGGATATTTCCATTTACTTCCCTGCTATCTTGGAGACACGACAGGATGTAAGCAGAAATCTCCAAGAAGTGAGAGGAATTCCTCTTTAAAGCTAACCATACACCCTAAAATGTTTCTCGTTCAGCCATGTGGGCTGGATGAGAGAAAAAATTACTTGGATGGGAGAATAATCCCTGCCAGCTATTGAATTCTAACAGCCAGCGCTCACTGTCAAAATAATTGAACAGTGACTGTAGATGATTGGCTGCAGTCACTGTGTGACAATTTTCCACCCGTCTCCTTACATTTTCAGGTTCCAGTTTGCCAGACGATGCAGTCAAGGATCAAACTTTGGCCAATTCAGTAGGAACTAGCTTTACACACTTATTATTAGAACAAATGCCTCCACTGGAAGGTTTCCAATCATCCCCTGTTCCAGTGAAAATTGCAAAATTTGGTCACCAGGACAAATAGTAGGTAAATCTCCCTAGGGGTGAAGCACGCACCAATAAAAGCCTGGCAGAGGTTCTACTCGTCCCCTACTTTATTCAAAACTTTGAAAAAAATTAACTTTAGATACACTTTAGGGCCCATTCACACTATTGCTTTACGGTGCTATTCTAAATGCACCTTGCCAACGGACATACATTGCAGCACAGCCCAGTGTGTAGTAACACACTAAGTTGCATTGAGGTGTGTTGCCAGAAATATCAAATGCGTCTTTTTGGTGCAATAATCACAATAGTGTGAATGGGCCCAAAATGTATTTTTACAAAGAACAAGCATACACATCTACATTGTATTTGGTATTAGCTTGTTGTAATACAATGCTCAGCAGCACTCTGATGGGGAAGTGGGAGGGGCAGCATGATTAGCTAGTAAATGATTTTGTTGTTTCCAGGCATCCTGCCTACAGAAGGGGAAAGCACAAGGATGGCATCATCTGTGTGCTGCTGCTTGCCCAATGATAGGTTGGGGTGAGCACTAGACTAGCCTGTACTTCTTAAATGCAGTGACGTCTGCAGAGAGTCAGATGTCGCAGCTTTGCTGTTGATGTTTGGCAGGGGTACCTTGATCACAAAACTGGCTAAAAAAAACAAAACACAATTTTTGAAAAACACATTTCAACTATGTTTGCCAATATTTCAACATTAAGCTCTGCTTAGCAGATCATTTAAAAAATATATAAATAATCTTATACAGATTGGAGAAACCCCAAATGTCCTTGTTTTATTCATGGGTAAAACAAGGTATCCCCTGCACACCCTACAGGAATGGAGATCGTTGGTAGTTTTTTGATGGTGCTTATAGTGATGTCCATGGATGGTGCCGTGCAAATCCAGAGTTTGAACAATGAAAATCAAAGCACATGAAGGATGAGATAAATCCAAGTGGTCTTTTATTCAAAGAAGCATGTCACAAGTGTTTTAAGGAGCCAACGTTTTCGAAACCACGCATTGTTCCTTCATCAGGGCAAACATAGGGACAACCAAGGTTGTCCCTATGTTTGCCCTGATGAAGGAACCCTGCATGGTTCCGAAACTTTGCCTCCTTGAAACACTTGTGACATGCTTCTTTGAATAAAAGACCACTTGGATTTATCTCATCCTTCGTGTGCTGGTGATCTTCATTGTTCAAACTCTGTTTTATTCATGGGGACACAATTCAGATCCACCAGCATAACTCAAACTCACTTGCCAGAAGTACATGCTACTGTCTTTTTGTGCCCATAAACATGATGATTGGCACCCAGTCCTTTCCAGATTGGCAAGATTTTTAAAGCAATCATCATCTGTCTGTGAATAGCTACTTCATTATTCCCATCCAATGAAAGGATAGGAATAAACAGAGGCTTTATTGAAATAAAGTCTCATTGTACAGCTTTCTTTGGAGTAAAAATGAGTGCTAATGTAATTATAATAAAAGCAATATATACATTTACCTTCTTTGGGGCATATGAGTCTCCTCCTATGATTTAAACATCCATACATTTTCTGAAACAGGAGGCATCGTCCACCCCAGCGTGCATGCCCAGACAGGCGTGTAATGCCTTTTGCGCTGGCATTTGCAGCCACTGGCTGTAATTGACAGCTCACATAGCTTCTAAAGAAGAAGAATCAAGGTGCAGAGCCAGCTCTTTCTGTTTGTTTCTCTTTTTTTTAATTAAATTTAGGTTTACCTTTATCTGTGCTCTTGGCACATGGGTTATCAGGTATGGTAGGCACATCAGGGCATGAAGCTTCATCTTTAAAAGAGTTGGCGAAACTTGAAATGGTTGTCTCCACCACTCCAGCCAATGTCCTAAAGTCATCATTTTCATTCCCATTAAAGTTTCCACAAAGACCTTAAAACCAAAGAGAAATGGTGCAAATAAGAAATATTTAAATCCAACTTGCATTGAGTTATTGTCATCTGTAAAATATTTGCAATAGAGTATTTTTAACTTGTCGGACTATACAAGTGAACAAACTAGGAACAATCTTGTTTGCAGTGTCCATGATAATCCCTATATATCTTTTTGTGTGCCTCGGGAGCTCCACAATGGTGTGTAACACTATATGGAAGGTTTCAAACTTCTGGTGACAACACCCCAAAAGTGTCTGCTACTATAAAGTCCAATGTGCAAGTCACAGTGGCTAGTGACAGAAGTGAACATTTATGTAAGCATAAGAGTGAGCATTAGAATGTGACTGTATGCTACCATGGACGTGTGCTCATGGCACACCGAAAGATATAAGTAGTGTATATACATACATACTGTACATGTGTCAACCTAAACAGGTAAATGCAGCCAAGAAAAGGTGACAGGACCCAAGAAAGTCCCAGGAAAACAACCTACCAGCCGATGAATGACCCCCAACAACAAAGTGACCCTCAGATGGATTATTCTCAGATAACCATCCCAAAGGCAAGCAGCCAGTGGACAATTTATATAAAAGTGATTTCTAAGCAGAATGCAATCAACATGAGACAAACAATCACCTAGGAGATACACGACCAACAAGAGCACATCTAACAAATACCAGCCCCACACGAGTCTGCAGTGTCTAACTCTATCTTTAAATATTTTTCCCTCACATCAGAGACTACTTTGTTTTTCAATTAAATATCAAAATTAAAAAAAACTGCAGACTTCAACGGACTTTACATATCAAATAATGTTACACTAAATACAAAATCAGGCTAATAAAAAAACAGCAAAAAAAAAGGAAAAACAGGAACATGCCAAGCCCCTTTAAGATTATTTACTTTACAAGATGTGATAACATTTAGGGGCGTGTTATTCACTAAGATGCCGAAGTCAGCCGAATGAATAACTGAGCCGAAGTGAAGTGAGACGAATGCAGTTCGACTATTCACTTCGGCCTTGTACGACTGATTTCAGCCGTACATGGGCTAAAATTAGCCGTAAATCAGCTGGCTTTGACTGGCTTCAGCCGGGAAGAACAGGACGTTCGACTCAGCCGACACAACATTTGGATTGGCTGAGCCGAACTTGCAGCAATTCACTTGCTGCCGTTCGCCACTATTCTCATAGTGGCTGAACAGCAGTAAATAAATAGCCGAATGCCACCGAACGGCATTCGGCTCGCTTATTCTGCTCGCTACCTCCAAGGTGAGTAGAATAAAAAAATGACAAGTAAAAAAAGGGGAAACAATGCGTGGGGTCTCCCTTCTTGATCAATGCCAGTTCCTTTAGGTCTTATTTACATTGGAGTACCCCTTTAATAAAGGGGAACCCAGATGCTGCCCCCCCCCTTGTAAATGAGTAAATGGTACTTGTACCCCTACTCATTTACTAAATGGTTACATAAAAATTTAAATAAATAGCCCACACTTTTGAAAAAAAATCCTTTAATTGAAAAGAAAACCACAACGGACTGTCGATGGAGGCGGGACTCACCTATGAGTAGGTGAGGACGTGCACGCTGGACACTCGCACCCGTCTAGAGAGCTGTCCTGATGAGAAGGCTGGAGCAGGATTGAAGCCAGCTTTTAACTGACCCGTCCGGCATCTGAGTGAGAGGGGCCGAGAAGGCAGAGTAATCTGACACTCTGACAGAGACTTGTAGAACGCAGAGCAGACTCAGAAGCTGCCAAGTGAGTGAGAAGGAGTGGAGAGAGCCGAGCAGCCAGCGGTCCCGGCGGGGATCTGCAGAGTGCAGAGCAAACCCAGAGGTCGGCAAGATCGAGGAGGGGAGAGAGCCTGGAGTGTGGAGGGCTTAGCAAGCGACTTGACAGAAAGGGAGAGAACATATTGAGCCGATACAGCAGGTACCTCACCAGAGAGTCGAACAGGAGAAAGAGAGAGATTGCTGAGAGAAGTGGGAGAGAGAGCATGGGGTGGAGCGGCAAGAAAAAACCTAAAGAGCGGAGACACGCACTCGAGCAACGGTAAGATCAAATATTGGGACTTTTTTCGCAAAGCAGGAGATGAAGAGACTGTTTGTACTCCAGTAAAGACATTGGCCTCAGGAAGAGAGCTAGCTTCAGTGGTCTCCTCTGCTAATGGGTCCCCAATAGGCAGTGAAAATGGGCACATAAATGGAGATGAATTATCAGAGATAGGGAGCGACAAGGTTGAAACTGAGCTCTCGGGATATATGAAGAGATATCTTGCCCAACTGCCTACAAAGCAGGACTTAGAAACAATGTATCAGCGGTTGGAAGACTTGCATAAGAAAGAAATGAGAGACTTAAACTCTAATTTGCAGAGATTCCATGAAAGAGTGGATAAGCTGGAGACAGTGATACCACCATTACTGGCGGGTTACACAACACTAAGAGATAGTATTAAAGAGCATCATATGCAGCTTCAGACTTTACAAATGTGTATGGATGATATGGAAGACCGTCAGCGTAGAAATAATATCAAGATGAAGGGGATCCCTGAAACAATAGGACCTATGGAATTGTTAGTAACAGTACAAGGTATATTTAATACACTACTGGGGAAACCCAGGATGGAACACTTGGAAATAGATTGAGTACATCGTGTTTCAAATAGACAAAAAGCCAGTTTACTGCAAACAAGAGATGTACTATGCAGGATTCATTTTTCTAAACAGAGAGACATGATACTGGCAAAGGCAAGGGAGAAGGGACCCCTGGATTTTGATGGAGCCTTGATTACTTTATATGCAGACTTATCCTGGAGGACCCTGGCTAAAAGGAGAGCCTTGCGACCAGTGACAAGTGCACTGGTTATAGCAGGCATACCTTATAAATGGGGGTTCCCATTTTATCTACAGGCACGCAAAAATGGACATTCTCATACTCTTCGCTCACCGAAGGACTTACTCGGCTTTATGGAGGGACTGGAGCTGGCATTAGTAGAAATCGAAACATGGTCAGATCCATTGGCTCCGGTATTTGCACATGTTCCAGATCGGGAGCAATGGAACCTGATTAGTTCAGGCCCACAAAGGACAAATAGAAATGCGAAATAAGGGATAGGCTCCAATGGAAAATATAGAAATATCTCTGTGTACACTTTTAAGAGGGAGGGGAGTGTCTTTAATTGGTAATATGGAAGGTATGAATAGATATAGATAAAAGTGGATATAGACATATATAGAAAAAATGAATAGATCTCCCCCACATTTTTTTTTGTTCTTGTGTAAGTGCGTGTATGTGTATGTATGTGTAAGTGCGTGTGTGTAACTGCATGTATGTGTAGGTGTTTGTATGTGTGTGTATGTATGTGTGTGTATGTATGGGTATGTGCATATGTGTTTGTTTTGTTTTTTTTTATTTGTTTGTTTTGTATTGATGGGACAGAGATAAAGACAAAGCTGGAACCAGACATAGCTTAAAATAAAGGGGAAAAAAAATAAATAAAAAATAGACGGGTGTGAGTAGAGTCCAGCGGCAAAGAAATGATGGGAAATTTTTCCAACAACAAGTTGAAATGGGGGAACGAAGGGAGAGCCAATTTGTATGGGCTCCCTCGCTTAACCCCTGAAAGCCCGCCTCCCAATGGGAAGGTTGTTTTTTTATTTTATAGGGACGAATGTTGTGCGGGAGGGCGTGACCTGTGGGGACCAAGGCCCCCAAGGGTAGCAGGCCACTCGATGTTTGAGTGTAAAGTTTCACATGTTAGTATTGTTGACTTTTTATTTCCTGAATATAAAAAGGACTGCTCTTGGTTCAGCTTTTTGAATTTGATAGTTAAAAGGTTATGACAGAATTAAAAATCCTATCTTCTAATGTACATGGGCTCAGATTCCCTTGTAAACTAAGTAAATTATGGGTAGAACTTAAGATTTAAGGGGCTCGAGTTATTTTTTTGCAAGAGACACATTTTGTTGAGGATTCCATACCCAAACTTCCCACATATTTATATTCACAATGGTACTTTAGTTCATCCACGTCCTCTAAATCAAAGGGGGTGGCGATAGCATTCCACAAAGATTGTCCTTTAATTGAACAAGGTCAATATGCAGATCCAAATGGACGTTATTTAATGGTCAAAGGACTTATCGATGGTCAGGCTTATACGTTTGTAACAGTGTATGCGCCCAACACAGGGCAGCTTTCCTTTTTAGATTTGGTATTAGTTAAGTTGGTCACATTTAGGGAAGGCTGTGTTGTGTTGGGTGGGGACTTTAACTTTTGCCCAGATCCTAGGGTAGATACATCTACTGGTTGTTCTTCTCATTCGATGGCCACGAGGAGGAGGTTTGGCAAGGCTCTCCAGGGGGCACATTTGGTGGATTGCTGGAGAGCCTTGCACAAGGGGCAAGTATTGAGCCAATTACTATCTCAGACCATGCAGCAATTTCGATCAATATAATGAGGCCAGGTTCAGCATCAAGAGAATGGATGTGGAGATTAAATGAAAACTTATTGGATGACATGACCACATTAGGTCTTGTTACGAAAGCCATAGAACCTTACTTTGTTCTGAATAAGGCTGGGGAGGTGCGGGAGGATTCGGTATGGGAGGGTCACAAGGCAGTTATTAGGGGAGAACTGATGTCAAGGGGCTCGTATCTGAATAAGGCCAGAAAGAAGGAGCTGGCTACATTATTAGAACAATTACGAGTGGCAGAATTAAAACATAAGAGAAATGGCTCATCTATAGATGAGCAGAATTTAGAGTCTTTGCGGTTGGCTCTAACTCAATTATTAGAAGAACGGGTGCGTAAAAATGCAAGATCTATATCTCATAAATGTTATGAACATGGTAATAAATAAGGTAAAATGTTAGCAAGGGCACTACAAAAACAAATAACCCGGACATGTATATCAAAGTTGCAAACTACTTCGGGAGAAATGGTCCAACATACTTCAAAGATATTGGAGGTTTTTCGTCAATATTATGCTATGTTATACAATCTG